GCCAATGGGCTTTCTGAGTCCACCTGTAGTCCAGACAGTTTCTTTCTGGATGCTTGCTCTAACTGCCCTGTCACTCTTCAATGCAGGTCCAGAATTGGTATTGGAATCCGTTCAATGCAGAAGAAACAAGCCCTCTTTTGCAATTTTTTTTTCTTTTTTAAATGCAACCCAAGGGCCATCTCTGTGGCACAGCAATTAAGAGAGCCAGATTCCATGTGGTTGGCTGTGGTTTGAATTTTAGCCCCAGTGGCTTAAAAACATGCCAGGTACATGCATGTGCATGCCCCAAATCCTTACAGGACAGAGAAATGGAAGAGAAGGGACTGCAGCTTTACCATGCACCAACGGAAATTTTTTTCTTTTTCTCTCCTTCTCTCTTTCTCTCTCTCTTTCTTTCTTTCTCTCTCTCTCTTTCTCTCTCTCTCTCTCGTGAGTATACACACACTCCACCAATAAAAAAAATAAATAAAGTATAATCAAAGTTACATCACCCTCCCATTGAATTGTCTGCCAACCTAAGGCAAAATAGTTTAAGATAAGAAGTTTAGAGTGAGAGACTACTGGAACAAGCTTTAGTTCTACCACTTACCTTGGGTGAGTAGATAAATTGGTTAATTGGCCAAGATTTTAAAAAAACAATCACAGGAGCATCTGGAATGAATAATGAAGATGCACGTGCAGTATCTGACTCACATATAGCTCACTACATGCTGACTGTTCTACATATCATTGCTGTCATCTCCAAAACATCCTTTTCGTGTGTGATGCTGCACAGTCCAGTTCCCAGGCGTTGTGGACATGAATCGCTTTACCGTTTTTCAAAGGATCCTGAATTTGTCATGTAACCTATTGCCATCTCAACCCCACAGCATCTGAAGTTGTGTTCAGTGTACCTTCTGTGTCCTCACCGAGTAACGTATGCAAGAATAAATATTGGGTTGTTGGGAAAGTCATGATGTATTTTTCTATGCAAAAATGCATCATGACTTTCTCAACAGACCAGTAAGTTTGGGGAGAGGCCTGAGGTTTGAGGCTTGGTACTTCTGTTCTAGAATAGCACCAATCTTTTAATCAGTACTCTTTGGCCATGCTCATTCAACCAGTCATGACCTTGCAAAATCTCAAACTTTTATGAATGAAATTCTGGTTACCATTTCTGTATTATTTCTTTAGAAAATATGCTCTGTTGTTATAAAACATGAAACATTCATTTCTCTTTTTTTCATAAATTTCCTACATAGAACGTTCCTTTGTACAAGTCTGTAATTCAGTATGTTCTAGCACAAACTATAACCAACTAATATTATAGCTTCCTTTCACAGAATAATCGTAAAACTTTTCTAAGAAAATGAAGATATTTTATGTAACAAAATAAGTTAAAAATTGCAATTATAAGTTAGAAAATATTGCTTTATTGTTAGTATATAGCACTAACTTGGGCTGTTTCTTTTACTAAGAGTCAAAAGGAAAAAAAAAAAGAAACACAGAACTACTAATGAAAACTAAGCATTAGCCCTTACATTTATGTCTTAAACATTTTCACACAGGTCAGATTAAGACCATCAGACTTGCTCAAAGAGGTCCACCAGGGGTGTGGATGGGGGACAGAGTAGAACACCAGTGCTACAGTGTATGGTGCTGTTGAGCTATGGCTGTCTTTGTAGACAAAACACATTTGAAGGATGCTTGATTGTTCAAAAGGCATTAGAAATGCTAGAAAGGCAGGCAGGATATCCTTGGAGCAGTTGGTCACAAAATTTTTTTAAGAGAGATTTTTGCTATAGGGTGTGTGTGCTCACTGGAGGAAGAGAGACAGAGAAACAGAGAGACAGCAAGAAATCACCTCCCAGAGATGATGGTCATGCCGCAATCCTTTCTCCTCCTGGGATTTTGGGCATGCACACACACACATGCAGCATGAGTTTAAGCCACTGGGTCCAGGGCTTGAACTGTGGTTGACTACATGGGGGTCCAGTGATGTAACCATTATGCTAACATCAAATTTTAAGATCCCAGTCCCCTAGTATATATGCCCTATATGATCACTCCACTTGCATGTGAGTGGGGCCTGCAAATATGATGGGTTTTCACTCCTATGATTAAGTTACATTCTATAACAAAAGGGATTTTTCAGTTGTAAAAAAAAAAAGAGAGTGTTTGGGACCAGCAGTTAGCATAATGACTATGTCGCTGGACTCCCATGTAGTTGACCATGGTTTGTGTCCTGGACCCGATGGCTTAAACTCATGCTGGGTGTGTGTGCATGTGTGCCCAAGATCCTGAGAGGAGAATGGAGAAGGGATTGAGGCATGGCCATTCCCCCTGGGGGGTGTTTCTTGGTTTCTGTCTCTCTGTCTCTGTCCTATAGCAAAAACCTCTAAAAAGAAAGAGAAAGAAAGAAAAAAAGAAAGAAAGAAAGAAAGAAAAAGAAAGAAAGAAAGAAAGAAAGAGGAAGAAAGAAAAGAGAAAGAAAGAAAGAAAGAAAGAAAGCGAAAGGAAGGAAGAAAGAAAGAAAGAGAAAGTGATTATCCTTGGTAGTCTAGACCTAATCAGGTGAGTCCTTAAAAGAAGTTAACTATTGCAATTCAGTAGTAATGCAAGTGGCTGCAGGTCAGAAGCCAAATGGCGACCATGGGTTCAGATCCCTGGATCAGCCTGGAAACATGACAGACACATGTGCAGGAGCCCAGGATTTTTTAGCAACAAGGGGGCTGGGGAAAGAGGATCATAATGTGACAAGACCCTGCTGAAGGTATTGTCTCTTTCTCTTTTTCACTAGCATGTGCACACCTGCTACAATTAAAAAATACATATATATATATAACTATGAGATAACACGTGTTGGCTTAAGGTACTGAGTTTGTAGCAATTTGTTATGAAGCACAGATAATGGACTAACATAGGAAGAAGTGAACAGTAGGGAGGACAATTCTCAAAGGGAATGTGACGTAGGATGACTTTCAGAATAAGAGTTTTCCTGGTGATTGATTTCCATGTAGCCACTGAAGCTACATCACTGGATTGAGATTTCATGCTGAACTTTCCTCGAGTAGGCATAGATTTTCTCCTCTTCTATGACAGTGGTTCTCAAACATCAGTGCATCAGGATCCCCGTTAGGTTTGTTTGAACCAATTAGCTGGGCTCTGCCTCAGAATTTTTGATTCAACAGGTCCGGAGCAGTGCCTAAAAATGTGTTTCCTGGCCCAACCTAGAACAGTGGTATGCACCTGTAGTCCTGTCCGGTCGGAAGGCTGAGGCAGGAGGATACTGACATGGTGAGACCTTGTCTCTCTCTCCTTCTCTACCCCTGAATAAGTTCTTTCAAAAGAGAGAGTGAAAGAGAGGGCACAGAACAACTTATATAAAAGTTGTCAAAGTGGTTTTTGTTGTATGATTGGTAGTCCCACTTTATTGGGAGTGATGAGAGCAAAGTTAAATCAGATAAAGTTGTATTGTTCTCATTCTATAGGTGAAGGGCCGATGAGGGGGCCTAGAGGATGTCATGTTTTCTACTTACCATGAAGGCCCCGGCTCTTGGACATTAGACATCTGAGCTGCACCTGCCATCTGTGGACAGCTTCTAAGGGACTTGCTCCCAGGTGTCAGGCGCTCCAATCATGCAGAGAGGTGCTTGGGAGGAACAGAAAGCCTTCTAACTGCATCAGCCCCTACACATCACTCTGTCATGAACCTCTGTGACACAAGGGGATCAGACCGGAAGCAAAAATGTAGTATGGAATGAGATTTGGGAATTTCACCAAGTACGTCATCCAAAAGATGATTTGAGACAAGAAGAAAAGTGTCTTGCCTGCAAAAGTGAGATTACGCAGTGATCATGAGTGTACATCAGAACAAGCCAAGAGCAGGGAGAAGCAGAGAGAGAAGAGGTCTATATAATTATGAATATGGCCTTGAAGGGATTTTGGAATTAGAGTACAACAGGAGCAGAGAGTTAACATTACTTTAAGATGATTAAAGAATTATTTATCTGAAGAACTCAGCATTATCATGTTCTCCAAAATTACCCTAGTTGCTCATGCTTGTCATAAGACTTGCTAGTAACATGGACTGGGGTAACAGTTGAGGAATCTAACTACAAACATCTGTTAAAAGTGAAATGATAATCATGTCTTGTTTTTATTAGCTTGCTCATAATACTGTCTTGAAAGACAGAATTGAATGATTATGTGAGTAAATTTGAATTTATATGCAGAACGTCAGTGTGCCTAAACTTTGCATTCCAAAATAAAAATGACTGATCTTTTCCATTAGGACAGTTTGGGTCGCCCTGGCTGCCAGATTTCATGATTTTATTTATTCAATTTTTTCCTAAAGAGATACAGGCCCTTTGTGGGCCCTACCCAAGCTTCTGCAGAATGACTGATGGCTGGGCTCTTCTCAAAGCCCACACATAATGTGGGGTGTCTGAAGCTTTGGTAATCAGATCCTACAGACTTTAAAGACCATTGCCAAAGTATCCACAGCACAGAGGTTTGGCAACTTCATTTAATCATAGCAAAAGGATTACAAAGTGCAAAACAAGCCCTGAAACGAGACCATTCAGAGACTGATTCAGGCTAAGAAATTGCTTAGGCTTGTTCCTTCTTGCATTACCCCTTTCAGGTTTCCTTCACCTTGGTCAAGATCTACAGCATTTGTAACACACAGAAAAGATGTCCAGGGAAATTGACTTTATATCATAGAAATAAACAGTGCCTGCCAGAAGAGCCGGTAACACCAGGCTCAGTTCTAGTGAGTGCCAAACTACGGTGCCCAGATTGTTCAGGAGGAGGGAAGGGTAGAGCAACAGTTTCCCTGGTGGAATCCTCTGAAAGAGAAGCCAAATGGCAAATGTAGAAGCTGCCTCCTGTTTCTTTAAAGAGAGAAACTGCAGCTATGCATGATGGATGCTTTATTTACTACAAATAATAATTCAGTGTGCATTAAGAGAGATACAGTGAGATAGCTTGCTCCCTATTCG